TTCCCTCCTCCCCTTCTTTTAATTTTTCCTTCCTTCCTTTTCTCTATTCTTGTTCCCTCCTCCCTCCTTTTAATTTTTCCTTCCTTCCTTCCATTTTTCTATTCTTCTTCCCTCCTCCCCTTCTTTTAATTTTTCCTTCCTTCCTTCTTTCCTTCCTTCCTTCTTCCTTCCTTCCCCCTCCCTCCTTTCTTCTTCCCTCCTTCCTTCTTCCCTCCCTCCCGTCTTCTGCAGGTGTGAGAAAACTGGACTAGCAGACTTCTTTGACTGAAGGCAACTGACACCGGAATGGCCAGTGACTTTGTTCTCCAGTGGGCTGTTGCAATCCTTTAAAACTCACCATTGAGTGAGCCATTTGGACCACTCATGCGAATGGCTTGCACTTTCCCCCTTCCCTCTTCCCCCCCAGACGAAGAAGAGTAGGAAGGCTTTCGTGGAGAAGCATTTTCATCGTTCCACCAACCAGCTAGAAGAGTGTCCAGTTGGGGCTAGGCAGACTCAAGCTTTACGGCACCAACCGGACCCTCCCAATGGTCCTTGAGCTGAATTCAGCCTGGCCTGAATTCTTGGCATTTCAGACAGCTTCAGAGTCGATGACCAGCTCACTGCTCTAGTTGTACGTCTGAAGTGCTGGCCTTTGGGCTGGATTGTGGGACATCAAGGAGAAGATGTTGGACCTCAGTTTTCTGACCGAGGAAGAGTATGGCAAGCTGATGAGGGTGCTGCAGAGGGATGCGGAGCTCAAGAAAAAGGACAGCGACCGGATCAGGTAGGAGGAACTTCCTGGCAGTGATCAAACTATTCATGTGTACAGAGAGATACAAGGTTATGTTTCCCAGGTGGTAGCAGAAGAGGGGATTTCTGCTTTTGAGGAACCAGAAAATTCGTCCTTCCCCCTAAGCTAGTCTTTGTTCAACTTTGTCAACTTTGAGATGGATGGTGTCAGTCTGTGCTCCATTCAAAATCCAAGAAAGAAATACTTAGACTCCATAGATTAGAGGAAAGAAATCTTTTACTGAAAATCGAAGTGGTAGCTTCAGGTAAAATTCTGAATCTAAGAAATTAGGCGCGCAGATCACATATACAAAGGGATGGAATTGTTCCCAACCCCCAAAGTTCAAAAGATTCTTCTAATTAAAAGTTCTGGATATGGTCATGTGGGCATCTTCAGGTGGTAATGAGGCCTCTGTCCGTTGACTTTGACATATTTTGATAAAGATTTGCAGTTGCGCAGAGAAAAGAAGGCTAAGCAAGGAATAGAACCTTAAGAGCAGGAATTTATACTCCCCCCCCCACTCCTCATTTATACAACACAAGAATGTAACACCTCCAGCTCTCTTCCCAGACATAACCCCTCCCCCCGTTACTTATGGCAGCCGAAAGATGCAAAGCAGTAGAAAAGATCTTGAAGGCTGACAGGTGGAGTCAGGGGTGGGATTCTACCAGTTTCAGACCGGTTCTGTGGAACCGGTTGTTACAATTCTGCACAGTTTGGACAACCAGCAAATCATGCCCCTGGCTGGCTCCGCCCCTCCCCGCCCGGTCAGTCCTTGTCGTGCATGTGCAACATTGCAGGCATGCCCCACGTGGCTGACTGCATTCTCCCACACCCAGTCACTCCTCAAGATATTTCTTTTTTTCCCCCTCCCAACGATCAGCTGTTCCGATGATCAGCTGTGCCGCAACCCCCCCTCACTGTCTTACTGCTTCGCCCAGGAGGCAAAAAGTGGCACAGGGGGTGCTGCAAGCTCCCCCCATGCTCCATTTTTTGCCTTCCTGGGCCTCAGTGAAGCCTCCTGGGAGCAAAAATGCCCCCCAGGAGGCTTCCTGGAGGCCCAGGAGGCAAAGAAAAGCAGAGCGGTGGGATGCTACAAAAAGAAGAAGAAGCCATGCCCACCCAACCGTATAGCCATGCCCACCTAGCCACTCCCACAGAACCAGTAGTAAAAATAGTTGCATCCTACCCCTGGATGGAGTCCAACTCCCAGGATTCCCCAGCCAGCCATGCTGTTGGGTTGACAGGTTTTTATATGGTGGAGTTTTCACGATTTGTTTCTTTGGCACATTTTTCAATGAAAGAGACTTCAGAGATCCATGAAAGGAACACGTTCGTCCAATGCCAAGCGGGGGGTCCCCATGATTTTTCCTTTTCCTGTCCTTTGCTCTTTCCGTCTGCTTAGGCGATTGCAAGGTTCGCTGAAGGATGAGAAGAAAAAGAAGTTTGTGACGGGCGAATGGTTCCATGAAGTGAAGGCCCAGCGTTTCCGAGAAGATTTGGAAGTCCCCGATCTACTGCGAGCTTCCATTAGGAAAAAAAATAGCAACTCTGACGGTGAGCGCAGAAGCATTTCGATAGCTAGACTAACTGTTCTGACCTAGACCTTCCCAAGATCATGAAGCAGCCTCCTCGTCCCAATAAAAACCCCTTTCATTTAGGTTAAAGTGAATTCCTCTCCAGCAAAGTCTCAGCAAACAGTCTTTCATGAGCTTTCACAACTACAGACCTTTATCAGGCTTGGAGAATTGCCAGGCCGATATCTTCCAAATGCCACACTGTAGCAGCAATTACTTGGCAAGAAATCAGGAACAGTTCTTCACTCTAATGAATTGAACTAATTGTCTCCTGCAAACACCACTCCCCTTTAGCTCCTCTTTATCCCCTATGAGAGGGGCCATTCACCGCCCACTTGAGCCTTTACTCCCGAGTCGGCCTTTGTTCCTTAGCTGTTCCCTTCTTCAGGCAGCTCTGTGCATGAGCACACTGGGAACAGGCTCCAGCTGTTCTTCTTCCCCACTGATCTCCGACTCCGAAGGCAGCTGATAACTGTCGGACGGCCCTGGCCCCATCTCTGCCTCCGACGCAGAGCCCTCATCAGAGCCTTCGCCAGACTCCAGGACTGGCCTATGCTCCTCCCCAACCTCCTCACTGTCCTGAGTTGCCACCAGCTCTGCTCGCCTCTGGTGGACCACAACACCAACATTCAAATCACATTGATCTGAGGTTCCCATCTGCTTTTTCCTATTCTCAGAAACTGAGCTCAGAATAGCATTTCTGATTCAGCTCAAGGGGGAGATGCTAGCCAGGATTCCCACCATATTAGAGAAAAGATAGTCCTCAACATATGACCATTCCTTTAGGGGCTGTTTGCAGTTACAATGGCACTGGAAAAGGTGACTTATGATGGTTTTTCACACTTATGATCGTTGCAGCAACCCCGGGGTCACGTGATCACAATTCAGACACTTGGCAACTGAGTTATATTTATGATGGTTGCAGTTCCCGGGGTCATGTGATAATGTATTTTGACTTTCTGACAAGCCACATCAATGGGGAAACCTGATTCGCTTAACAACCATGTTACTAACTTAGTGTCATGCCCCGATTGGAATCTGATTCTGAGGGAGAGGTGAAACAGCTGACAGGGAGTGGGTGTGTGGCTCCAGTGGCTGTGGAAGAAACTGGGGAAGGGCACAGTCCAGTTCGGCATTCAGAGGAAGAACCAGGCCCACCCTCTCTGTGTCCTAGGGCACACAGGGAGGAACGGAGAAGGGAGCAATGTGGATTACGGGGGAGAAAAAGGCCCTGATTCCCTTCATTCACTGCAGCTGGGGAAACAGGATAAAGTGAGTGTTTGCACACAACTCCTTGCTGGAAGCAAAGCGTGAATTTATCTTTGTTTGTCAAGTCTTATCTAGGTTCTGGCATCCTCCCAACTGTGTGTGTTTCATTATCTTTTGAAGTCTGCAATTCCTTATCTTGCCCTGTCTCGTTAATTGCTGCAGTGTGGTTTGTGTTGGTTTTTGTTTATAATTTAGATGTACTTTGAGTTTGGATGCAATTTATTTCCTT